CACATGAATACCCCTATTGAAAATTCCTCGTGCTTATTGAGTATCTGTTCATCCCCAGTTGTTCGTATGCTTCATAAGATACTCTGAAATAATATTCGACCTTCTGAGCATCCTCTTCAAACTATTGCTCTACAAATACTTGTATGCTTACATTATGGATGCTCCCATATCACTAGCAATATTCACTAATATCTTTTGACTCCGCCATTCTGATCCTATTGATTCAACATGTGTGCGAATGCACACAATCATTAATCGACCCTTCTAAATTATCTTTCCGGCCCAGACGTCATTTTGAACATGAGCTGGTTCTCGACCAAACTATTTGTCATCGATTGTGCCTCTCGTCTATTCAGTTTATCCATCCTTGATCAGAGCATCTTCTTCTGATCCTTAGTTTTGGAAATCATAATTCCTTTGTTAACTAAGCATCGAATTATTCAGATGTTCTATAATCTGATGCCCTTGCATTCTTTCTTCCTCTGATTGAGTACTGATACTCACATTGGCTCCGTTGTGGATCGCCCGATCCATTATTGGATTTCATCCGACATCGTCCTTCATATTTAATAACCTTGTGAGCCTTTCCACGGGTATATAATGCCTTTGGTAAATTGTATCCTCTGCTTTGTCAATCATGCTTTGCTTCAAGCATGTGCTAATTGGTCCTGACGTTTGTGGTATTTGTTCCTAAGATGCCCCGATGGGTTGAACCAATGCCTTCCCTAATGTGTGTGGACCCGAAAGTTTTCACGGGTCGTACTTATCTGGTATTGCACCATTTAAAACTTTCAACAACTAATGCCATTTTTGAAAAACGAGAAGTGAATGGAAGGTTATACATTGAAGAAGTGGGAGTCGACCTTGAACTTTGTGTTCATGCCCATGGACACGATGTGGAACTTATCATGGGAGCTTCTTGTAATAGTAACTATTTCCTTGATATAATATCATCTGGTATCGGTGAATTGATCCTTTGCAGCCGTGGTTCTGACCAGGATTGTTCTTCTTTGGTCCCATTTCTTGGACAAGTTAAATCACTTGTCTTCTATAGGTCAATATGCCTGCCCAACCTCTATTATGATCTACCTTCGAGTATTACCCCTGGTATCTCGAGGATATCAGGCCATTGCACTACATCTTATGAAATTTTGATGGAGTACTACCTTACCCTGTCTTTGTCACTTCATGGGTTCTGGGTTGTTTGTCAACCGAGAACACCGATAAGTGAATCGATTCCGCACTCTGATTCAATAACTCTAAGTAATTTTCATTGCTTACGAGTTTAATAATCCTTCAAGTCATTCCTAGCATGATCGGCTATATCATTATCGTGCCTAATTTTAACTGTGCTACCTGGTTCTTTTTCCCTAAGCACAATTTTTGACGATGAGCTAAGCTTACGTCGATCTTCCTCGTGGTATCATTTCTCCTTGAACACCAAGCTTGATTTCGAGTTTGTGTCATACCCTTGGATCCAATAATCTTTCGCCTCATCATTCCTTTGACTTGATGTCGTCGCCGATTAATTACATCTTCATGAAATCTCGCGACAAATGTGTCGTGAACATCATCAACATTCTGAGCTCTTCCAAGATATCTATCGAATTCTTGATGAGAAATACCACCCTTTGCTCTCGATGATTTGTGTTATCATCGACCACTTTATTGCCTATCGTTCAACACAAACTTGTTCGTGCTTTGTGATATAACTTGAGATCCTTGCTATCCATCAATTGTTCTTCTTACCTTGGAGTATTACCATCTTTTATGTCAGGAATGTCGTGAGAATCTCACCACCTCTTGAGAATTCTTGATATAAGTGATACTTCACCATCACCATTCCTTTCTTGGTCCCCGTGTTGTTCCTAACAGGAATACCGACAGATGGACTAGTAATTTTAAAAATTCTAGCAACCTTATTGCTTTGATGTTAATGGTCAACATTTCATTCTTAGACCATTGGTTATCGAATCGCCATTCTAACATTGTTTGTGCTACCTAAGCCCATATTTCGGGCACACCTTTCAACCAATGCTTAATTGTGTATGTTTCCGTCGAGCATACCTCATTATATCATTTGATCCGACAAATGTTATCTCCTTGTTCACACAACTATGGAAATCCATCTTTTGGAGATCTCAATGAATTGCCACTAAGTTCATCAGCCACTTCCTCATCCTGTCATTGGTTTAATGATGAACTCATGATTCAACTTGCTTCCATAGCCCATTTCCCGAGAATCTTGCAACTCCATCTCGTTAATTGTGTTGCCCCTTTCCTTCTCGGGAATCACGAGTCTGAGGTATCCTGACATCAATCGGATCTGATTCTCGGTCAGATATGATGGTTGGGACATATTTCCAAGAGTTATAACATTGCTCTTTATATGACCCGGTAAGGTAATGTCATGCCTAGCACACCTGGCCGGAGGACCTATTGTTATAGATTCCTTTTTAGCAAGCTTAGCGATTCTTCCATGAGGAAATCGTCAGACTTATTTTATAAGTTGTTCCTGATGAATCCTTTCTGTATGCAAAGTCCGACCTTTGCTTGAAAAGCATGTCAATGCTATCTCGAAGCATGTATCTGGTACTCTTATCATCAGTAAGAACATTTGTAGCACAATGCTAAATTTTCCTTATCAATTATCCAAACACCTTTGTATGGGTAATATCATGAAATTTCTCTCCTCTTACCTAAAGGGTTTTCTATGTTATATCCTGTCATGGATATCATGCTCTGCTTGTCCTTGTGAAGGATATACCCCTGAAAAATGTGTTTAAACACGTTTAAACACTCACTGGAACCTGGTGATGCGGATTCTTCGGTACATCCGCAGCACCACGGCTCTAGGTCTTAAGTTGACGGCTTCGTCCTCAACTGACCTGGTCGCCTACAGTGACGCCAATTGGGCTCGCTGTCCGGACAAGCGACGCTTGACATCAGGCTATTGCGTCTACCTGGGGCCCTCTCTTATATCGTGGTCGTCTAAATGACAACCCACGGTATCCCACTCAAGTGCCGAGGCTGAGTATGTGTTGTGGCCAATGCCGTCGCCGAGTGCTCGTGGCTCCGACAGCTTCTTCAGGAGTTGCTTCTTGATGTCCCGAAGGCCATCATTGTCTACTATGACAATGTATCTGCGGTCTACCTCTCCGCCATCCCCGTTCATCATCGTCGCGCGAAGCACATTGAGCTCGACATTCACTTCGTGCGAGAGCAGGTGGCTCTTGGGCACGTCCGCGTTCTTCATGTTCCTACCACTCAGCAGTTTGCCGATGTCATGACGAAGGGGTTACCGACGCCTACATTTGAGGAGTTCCAGTCCAGTCTATGCGTCACTGGTGACGTATCGACTGCGGGAGGGTGTTGAACATATATGTGCATGTATCTGTTAGGATAATCTCCTGCCGGCCCCGCCTCTAGTTTCCTTGTATAAATGAGGCTGAGGAGTGTGCCCTCTTTATCCACATTTAGCTTCTCTTGTTTGAATGTGGCATGTCCGTTAGTTGGGTCTTATGCCATTGTCAGTGTTGCTCATCCGACATGGGTTTCCTCAAGTATATAATCTTTGTTTATGTTATCCTCTTTCTCGTCATCAGCGTCGCCAAGTCGCCAAGGGAAAACTCTTTGGATCAGCCTTCTCCAATAGAAACACCTCTTGAATTGAGATATGTATCTCTAGTTTCCGACGACCTTGGCTTAGTTGGAGACAAAGCGACCAAATCCTCCAGTTGGATTTGATGTCTCTGTTTTTTTTGTTCCGATATAAAGCCATGTTTCTGATGTGGATAACATCCCTATCGTTGATACAACCCCGCCTACCAATGCCACTCCTCAAGTTGCATCACAATGTCCAATGAAAAGAGCACTCTCATGACAAGTTAATTATGATGTAACTTTTATTTCTTATGGTATTCTCAAATATTACGAACTCCACGCTAAACCATAAAGTGGCAACGTCGGCTGCTTGAAGAGAGGGAGTGGACATGGTCATGGGAAGGTCCTTGATGTTTATAGAGATTGAGTCCATGTTAATGTTTTCTTTTATGGGTATCATAGACTCAAAGGATTTTTTTTAAGAAATTGCATCTCTGGGCTAGGAATCATGTGGAACTATAGTGTATAATGGCATCTCCAATGCTGATCCTCAAATTGTCCGCTTATATTTGGAGTTTTGGACCATGCGGTCCAGACGTAATAAGCCATTCAATACGGTACCCAACATTCTGCAGAGGATCTAGTAGTCAGTTTTCCGTTCCGTAAATTGAAAGCAAACCAAGGAGGGTTTCTGGGCGTCCGAGTCATTGCCATGCACGCATACAAACTGTAGGCCAGCACTCGAGATCCATGAAAGCAGCTCACAGGAGATTTGTGTGTGTGTGTGTGGAGGATTCATTCCTTTGGACCAAATAAAATTTAAACAAACAAAAAAACATTATATGGACTGGAGTTCTTTAAAATCCTTTTTTAAAATGCCTTAAACCAAAGAGGCCGACGAGAAGGTCATTGCGCTTGGCCGCTTGCCCGTTCAAAATGGCACGCACGATGTCAAGTGTCAAACCCCCGCAAAAAAATTAAAAAATTCCCAAGCGTCAAACGAGAACGTGTGTGCGTGTGGTGTAAAAACCCCGTCAACACGACTAGTGGCACGCACTCTAGAACTCTACCGACCGGGTCTCGCTGTCGTCAGCTGTTACGGGCCTCTGGCGCGCGGGCCCGGGGCCATCCGGCCTCCCCAGCTGTTTCGGTCCTGGCTCCCGCACGATAAAACCGGGGCGGGTTCCCCCCCGTCTTCTTCCTCCCACCCCACATTTGACATTTCCCATCTGCTCCTCCTCCTCCAGCCGCGCCCCCGATCCCAGTTGCGTCCTCAGCGGATTCCACTCCATTCGATTCTCCCGAGGAGCAAATTGCCTCCCGAGATCTTCATCTCGCTTCGGATTCCTCTCGCTTAATTGGTTCCGGAGCTAGGCAAGAAGCGAAAGAGGAGGAAAATGTGCCCGCTGAGGGTGATACTCATCTTCCTCTCCGCCACCGTCGCCGGATTCTTCCTCCTCCGGGGCCTCAACGCCGACCCCGACTGTTTCCAAGACGGCGACGACGGCTCGGAATCTCCCAGGGCCGCCGTTCCCCTCCATTCCAAGGTACCCAACTAACCTTTCCCCAGTCTTGCCTACTTTTAGCCTCTTATTATATACGGACCTCTCACGTTTCTTGCCTAACCCTTCCAGAGGATTTCCAATTCATGTTCGTGCAACCAACGCTAGCGAATAATTTATGATAAATAAAATATAAAGTTGAAATAGCTGATAAATACGGAGTATATACGTGAAAGAAAAGTCAATTAATTAGCTATTGTGCAATGATGTATACTTGATATGGCTTGTTGGCAAGGCTCATTAGATTTCGAAGTCACCAAAATTAAACCATGGTTGAAATTTGCAATAACGTTGATCAACCATGTTAGTAGTTTGTGATGAGAATTGCTCCCTACCGTAAGCGGCCAATGAAGACTGAATGAGTATTTGCATCGGAATGCAGGTTGGTTCAGCTGTGAAAACCGGGTTCTGGACAACGGTAGACATGGCGAGCGGGCGGTACCTTTGGCGGACCCTTGTTGCGCCACCAGCGAATTCTGAATCCGACAAGGCCTGGTGACGACGAACTTCATGTTGTCTGTTTGACATTTGTGTAATGCGGGAGACAAGGGATGTGATGTGCGATACGGCGGTGATTGTAAATATGGGTTTTCTTTGTTTAAGCAAATGTGCAAATTGTTCATGTTTGAGCCTTGTGTTATATGCCAGGACTGGATTATTTTGTTTGAGCCTTGTGTTTTTGAGTTTTGACAAGTGGGGGCAGTGCTGGAAGTATGGATTTTGGACTAAGTTTGTTTCATCTTTGTTTGGTTTCGATTGGTTGAAGCATACAAGAAATGCCAGAAATGGGGATTTGATTATTTCCTAAAGTACAATTTTTGTTGCTTTTCAAATTGGGAGAAATTTCCTGCTTTGTTCTTGAGTTGTCCAGAGGAGATGTTTTTTCAATACTGAAACTTCAGAGCATCATATCCTGTATACCCCCACCCTGTGTCGACATTTGAAGCATACACTTTGTGATCTCACCTCCTGGGAAAGTTGCTTGACTGGTTGATTACCAATGTGAAAATGGGCTGTTGGATAGGGACAATCTCTTTAACTTGCAGCTGGAGTTACAATATTTTCTAGGTAAGACTTAGCCAATGAGTTGTTGGATAGGGACAATCTCTTTAACTTACAATATTTTCTAGATTAGACTTAGCCAACACGTGAAGTACGTTTGATCCTTCTTCGTATGTTCTTTTATCATTTATCATAGCTTATACTCCCTCCGTTCGGAAATAATTGATTTCCGAACTGAGGTAATATTTGTCAATTTACTTCCTACAAAATTGCAAGTTGCATGTTTATACGCTGCATTGCGATTCTACTACTCCGCTACTCATTGTGTAAGTGTTCCCACTTGAATTTAGTCTGGTTATCGGGACAGTCTGATCATCAAAAAGATGCATATGAGTATATGACAGCAGATCACCAACTGTTAGTATGATGATTTCTTCTCAAGTGTTCATACAAAAAAAGTTTAGATAAAATGCAGAGGTCATCCTGTGCAGTTTTTGCATACCAAATTGAGTATTCAATGATATAATGATGCAGCATGTGGAACATATGAACTTATTTTCTTTATCCTCGGCACAGTATTTCACCAAGAAAGCATAGTACAGGAACAGTTTTACAAAGCACATATGTATTTCCTTGTGGAGTGATAAATGTTACAGTTCAGAAACAACTTAATCCATGGTCTGAGCTTATCAACAATTCTTACTCGTCCAGTACAGAAAGAAAAGAAAGCATTTATTTGTGACAAAGAGCCCGCTCATGTAGAGTATGTAACACAATTGCTCGAAGTATGCATTATTGGATTTTGGACCAAGTTGGTTCATCTTTGTTTGGTTTTGATTGATTGAAGCATATAATAAATGCCAGAAATGGGGATTTGGTTATTTCCTAAAGTACAGTTTTTGTTGCCTTTTAAATTGGGAGAATTTTCCTGCTTTGCTCTTGAGTTGTCCCGAGGAGATGTTTTTTCAATATTGAAACTTCAGAGCATCATATCATGTATTACTCCCACCCTGCTTTGCCCTTCAGAAAGTTCCTTGGCTGGTTGATTACCAGTGTGAAAATGGGCTGTTGGATAGGGACAATCTCTTCAACTTGCAGCTGGAGTTACAATATTTTCTAGATAAGACTTAGCGAATGAGCTGTTGGCTAGGGGCAACCATTTAACTTGCAGTTGGAGTCAGAATATTTTCTAGATTAGGCTTAGTCAACACGTGAAGTACGTTTGATCCTTCTTCATATGTTGTTTTATAATCTATATTTTAATTTATTTGCCAATTTACTTCCAGTGAAGTTGCAAGTTGCATGTTTTATACGCTGTATTCCTAATCTGCTACTCCACTACTCATTGCAAGCGTTCTACTTGATGGAAGTCCGCTTATTGGAACAGCCTGGTCATCGAAAAGATGCATGCGGCAGCAAAGCACCAAATGCCAGTGTGATGTTTTCAGGGGAAAGAATTAGTATGATAATTTCTTCACAAGTGTTCATACAAAAAATATACGAGTAGATAAATACTGAGGTCATCACCAGTACACCTTTTGCATACCGAATTCAGTATCCAGTGATATAATGACGCATGTGCATATGAGCTTATCTGTTTATGCTCAGCACAGTATTTGTGCCAAAAAAGGCATTAGTAGTTCAATACATGAACAAGTTTTACAAAGCACATCAATATGTACTGTATTTCATTGTGGAGTGATATACAATATGTTACAGCAAAGAAACAGCTTAATCCATGGCCTCAGCTGCCTCAGCTTAGCAACAGTTATTATTATTTTGGAACGAAGACGCCGACGGTGTCCGGCTTTAAATTAATAAAGCCAACAAGCGGAAACCTCCGTAGGCCACATAGGTTATCATAACGACATGCCATCACAACGACCAAAAGATAGAACGCGAGAGTTCAACGACATCAGCACGCAAGCTGGCTACTAGGGAGAACAAAAGATGCCGACGATGGTGACGATGCTCCAGTCAGGTCCAGCCGCTTGTCTTGCTTCCATCTGGATGCAGCGGATCTTTGCCATCGTCTCGGCCATACGCTCCTCATCACGCGGTTTCCCCAACAGAGCCCAAGTCTGCAAGAAAAGGTGACATTTGTACAGAATATCAGCAGGGTGAGAAGGGAACTTCTTCTCAATCGTCGTCTTATTGCGGGTAGTCCAAATGGACCAAAGGAGCGCCTCAACGCATCTCCAAACTATCCGAGCACTAGTGCCGTTTTGCAAACGCAAGATATGTAAAAGATCGGCCCCTGATGCCGGGTTCCAATTCTGTTGGAATGCAGCGCGTACTGCGCTCCACGAAAATCTGGCTAGGTGGCAATGGAAGAAGGCGTGGTTAGCATCCTTAGTGCAGTTGCACAATGCACAAGATCCATCGGATGGGCTGTTGCGGATCGCAACATTATCCGCCGTTGGGAGACCATTCTGAAACATCTGCCAAAGGAAGATTTTTATTTTGAGCGGGATACCGGCCTTCCATAGCCCCCGAGCTATGTCCAGCACGTCCCCCTCGGTAAGCTTGGTGTACAGAGATTTGACCAAGAACAATCCCGAGGGGGAGAGCTTCCAAGAGACCTCATCCGTGTGCTGGCCAATCATAGCCAATATCTCGTTCCATTCTAATTCCTCGTGTGGGAGAAGCGCTCGGAGAAAGTTTACTGAAGGTGGTGAGATCCGGAGTGCCTCCTCCACCATCAGCTCCGTGTTTGCGGCAGCTTGGAAGGCTGCGGGGTGACTCTGCCACAACGGAGAGGTGTCGAGCCAGGAGTCCAACCAGAAACGAGTGGACTGACCGTCCCGAACCTGAAACTTTGCCCCTAAGGTAAACGTTGGTCGCACCGGTTGGATTCCGTTCTAGAATGGGGAGCCCGAGCGTTTAGCAGAGAAAACGTTGCCACTCGGAAAATACTTAGCTTTTAGGAGATCAGCCCAGAGACCCGACTCGTTTTGGGCTAGTCTCCACCACCAATGGGACAGTAGGGCCGCATTCATGAGTTTGGAGTTTAGGATCCCCAAACCACCAAATTTCTTTGGACGGCATACCGAAGCCCATTCGAGAAGGTGATACTTCTGCTTTCAAAGTGCGTTATATCGACTAGAGGGGGGGTGAATAGGCGATTTTTATGAAATTCTTCACTGAGGAATTTGCCGGTGAGGAAATTCCTTAGCGAAGAACTACTAACAGCGGAATAAGTACTCAAAAGTAAACATAACAGAATACAAGCATAGTCATCATGATGAAATAAAGACAGGCACAGAGTACATGAAGCGTAATCACAGGATAACACAGGATGAAGACAAACAGACTGAAGAAATTGAACTGAGGAAATTGAGAAAGTCTTCAGTCAAAGTCTTCAAACACAGATATGAACAAACACACAACACAGTTATGAGGAAATGAAAGAGTTGAGGAAATAGAACCAGTAAGCTTGGTGAAGACAATAATTTGGTAGACCAGTTCCAACTGCTGTCTCAGTTGTACGTCTGATTGGAGCGGCTGAGTATTTAAACTCGAGGACACACAGTCCCGGACACCCAGTCAAGGACACTTAGTCCAAGACACCCAGTCCTCACAGTATTCTCTTTGACCTAAGGTCACATAGACCTTGTCCAATCACTCGTGGTAAGTCTTCAGGCGACTTCCAAATCTTCACAAACTTGGTCACTCGGGGATCCACAATTTCTCTTGAATGCTCTAGACCATGACGCCTAACCGTCTGGAAGAAGCACATTCTTCAAAGGTAACAAGCGTCGGATCCACTCAGGATCAATCTCTTCAGTGATGCTCAATCACTTGGGGTTTGTAGGTGTTTGGGTTTTGGGTTTTTGGTTTTTCCTCACTTGATGATTTTCGCTCAAAGTCCTCAGAGGATGAGTTGCTCTCAAATGACAAGTGTCAGTTTCTCTCGGAGCAGCCAACCAGCTAGTGGTTGTAGGGGGGCGGCTATTTATAGCCTAGGGAACAGCCCGACATGATAAGACATAAATGCCCTTCAATGATATGACCGTTAGGTGGATAGATATTTTGGGACAGCTGACGCATAGCACAGCAACGGTCGGAATTTTGAGTAGCAAAATCCTCAGGGCTATCATGTTCCTCACTGTGTAGGCAATCCGCACTGGCGAATTCCTAACTTCTCAGTCAGGGCAAATTCCTCAGAGACCAGAAGAACTTCGTCTATGTCACTGAAGAAATTGACTGAACTATATGAGATTTCCAATGGCTTCACTCGAAGGGATTGGTATGTGTAGGATTTTGAGTTGAGCATCACATGGAAATTTTTCCTTAGTATTTCCTCGACCCCCTTTAACAGTACGGTGTTTCCTATGACTCAAGAAAGAGAAAATGAAACTACGAAACAAAAGTCTTCTCGTTTCATGTTCCTCGAAAGAATACCAAGTCTTCAAGGTCACACCAATTTCTTCACTTTCAAGGTCTTCAGAAAGTCTTCAGAATACCAAAATCTTCAGCCGAAGATATTCATTTTAG